AAGCCAAGGAGGACTCAGTACCTGTTTGCTCCACTGGTTCTAATCAGCTTTGCAGGTCAGTTCTGATTGTCCACCTGGAAATAGTAGCAGAATTTTTTCCACAGAAACACCTGTGACCTTGCAGGTTAGTTTTTAAAAGCACACAAATATTTGTGTTTTGATGCACTGATTGCCCATGTTCCAGTGGGCATAAATAAATACTGGCATGTCAAGTTGAGGAAAGAGCTGGGAAAAGAAATAATCTTTGGGCAGTGAGGGGAATATTAGAACTTTTCAAGAACCTTTGCACCCCTGTACTGAAGAAAGTGCAACACTGTGCTGCTTTTCTGTAACCATCTTCCCCCATGTGTGTTTATGCAGTTGACAGGTCCCTGGAGAAGCTTGTGGGTTAGGTTTGGGTATGACCCCAGAAAACACCCTGAAGCAAAGATTTATCAAGTACTGGACTTCCGAATTCGCTGTGGAATGAAATATGGTAAAAGGGCCCAACCCACAGAGCTGCTCTCTCTGCTTTCTGGTTAATCCTGGTAGTACTTTTCTTTTTATGTGTTTTTCAAACTCTTTTGCCATATTTCTGCTCTGATGTCACCTTTTGAGCTCCTTGCTTGCTGTAGTTCTCTCTAAACTCCTTTAATACTTTATTTCATAGTATGCAATATGTCTTTCCTCATTTGGCACCTTCCAGACTCTGACTTCCCTCCTTCATGTGTCCCAAGCCCAAGTGGATGTAGCAGACCATCCTCCCCCTTGCTCAGGGAGGCACTGAGCAGGAATTCTGGTGCTTCCATAGTAGCTTTTCCTTAGGGACCTCAGCATCCTGTGCAGGATTTTGGGTCTTGGACCTTGGACACGGGGTACCCCTGCTCTGATTTTGCAGAGGGCAAGTTGAGGAAAAGGAGTTTCTGACATCTAATAAGTCCATGACAGAGCTGGCATCCACTCATTGACATCAGGTCACATTTTTTTTCCAAGTTAAAGGGTTTTATTGATCTCTTCTCCCAACCTTGCTAAAGTCAGCATATCCCAAAGACCAGCCTGCCTTTCCCACACCAGTCCAGCCCTTGTGTTACTGAGCCAAGGATATTCTGCAGGGTGCTTGCCCTCAGTTCATTACTGGTTTTCCTTTTTCACCTCCAGGTTATGCCCCTAATGACATGCCCGTGAAAGCAAAACGCAGCACCTACAACTACAGCCTGCCCATCACTGTCAAGAAACAAGGTAGGTTGGGCCAGCAGAAGGGCTGCCTGGTCTTCTGGGTCTATGTGTGTACCCCACCCTGGTCACAGGTGGTGAAGGGTCTTCTCTGTTCTAGCTGAGCCAAAGCTGGAGGTTGTTTTCTGGTTATAGTACAGTGCTGCCATTAAGCCAGGAGAAGAATCTCCTGCTGGGAAGTGGTGTGGGAGTCTTGGAAGCATGTCTGGCTGAGCCACAGTGTCTGTTAGCAGGCAGGAGGGAGTTCTGTGCTCAGAATTAGCAATGATGGTGCAGAGAAGGGGGAAGTTCTCTTTTCTTTGTCAAGGGAGAGTAGAAAAGGTTAAAATTACGAACAAGTACACGCTGTGGAAAAACACAACAAACTCAGCACCTTCCCTATGACTGCCCAGTGACATCTCTGAAGAATGAACAAAACTCAGGCAGCCATAATTGCTGGGTTGGTCTGGTTTTGTTGAATCAACAGAGAGAAGTGACAGTACAAGGTTGTCTCTAATAGGATTGTCTTTGTTTTTGTTTTTAGTCAGCCACACAGTCAGTGTCCACGACCTCAAACAGGGGCTGGGTACAGCTGGTGCATCTGGGGCAAAAAAGCCCCCCTCCAGCAGGTATAAACTGAAGGTAAGCATGACTCTTATTTAGTCTTGAAGTAGCTCAGTGAAGTAGGAGTGTTTCCTGGTTTATCAGTCATCAGGGGGACAGCTGTGAGCGAGCTGATGTCCTCAGGTTTGCCTGGGAAGCTGCTATTTGTATCTGGCACTCCAGGGCTTCACCTGCTGTGCACTGAGTGTATTTCTTACATGCTGCAAGGTAGGATTGGTGCTCTCAGCCCTGGTGTGAGGTGTGATGAGCATTTGGCTTCAATTGATAAAACTGGAACTTCATGGGTGGTGAAATGCAAAAAATCACCGTGTCTTTTATCAGGTCATGCTGCGAAATCCAGCAGGGTGGAATAAATAAATGAGTCTTACTCTTCCATTTTTGCTAGAATGAAAACCACAATGCAGTGTTATGCAGTGACAGGCTGCAGGCAGAGCTGCAGGTTGAAGAGGTGAATGAAGTGTGTTCTCTGCACAGCAGTGCTGTTGTTTCTATGACTGCAGGGAAATTTTGGGGCATTCCTCATCCAGCTTTATCTTTTGCCACATGCAGACATTCCTTAGAACTGATTTGTGTTGGAAGTGCCTTGTTCTTGAATCAGCCCATGAGAAGTACCTTTCAGTTACCCCAGAGCTGTCCTGTTACACCATAAAATGCACATGAATCCTTTCCTTCTTTCCTTCTTTTAGGAATCCATCTACGTTTTCCGAGAAGGAGCTTTACCCCCATATCGACAGATGTTCTACCAGCTCTGTGACTTGAATGTGGAGAGGTATTGCACACTGGCAGCTGAGTGTTGTGTTAGAGACAGATTTCAAAGTCTATTGCTTGTACCCTGTCCCTTCACCTCTCTCCCCTTGACCAGGAACATCGGAGGTTTTTAACTTCTGAATAAAAGTAGAACAGACTTTTCACGCATGAACTTCCTTTCCCATATGACAATTACCTGGATAATCAACTGTGCTATTCCAGCTCAGTGAAATGGCAGTAAGCCATAGTCTGCCTCATTTAAAGCCCACACCTGAGTGCAGAAGACTAATGTCTCCTTCCCTTTTGCTGCTTTTCAGCCTGCAGAAGATCATCCACCGGAATGACGGCACAGAGTCGGAATGCACGGAGCGGGATGGGTGGTGCCTTCCCAAGACCAGTGATGACCTGAGGGACAGCATGTCCCTGATGATAAAGCAGATCATCAGATCCACAAGGCCTGGTAAGGATGCTTTGAACATCACCCTGTTGTACTGCCTTCCTGATGGTGTGGAGATGTTGTAGGCTGAGGGGAGGAGGGTGAAGTCAGCACTGGGGCAGAGGCTTTCCTGCATCTGCCTCCTCCTTTGTGCTACCCCTCGGTGTTCTTTGTGTTGTAGCTGAGGCTGTTCTGCAGTGTGAAGGTGGGTTGGCATTAGGAATGACTGGAAGTAAAGGTTTTCTATTTCATCCTCTCAGTGTCACAGCCTTCAGGTGTTAAATGTCTTTGCACAGTGATAATCAAAATCTTATTCTTACTGATGTATCTGTTGGTGGCATTTTACTTTTTTTGTCATTACTGACTGAACAAGAAGTGAGGAAGTTGTTTGTGTGTGATGCTGGGCCAAAGCAATAATATCCCAGTGAATTAGATCAGAATGAGCTGGGAGAGGAGGCACAGCACTACAGCTCTGCTGCTGTTCTGCTTGCTTTCCTGGATTGCTTTGGGCTCGATCAGATTCTGTTAAGATGTGCAACATTAACTGTGCCCCCGTGGCTTCTGCCTTCCTCTCACATGTTGTGTGAACTCTACTGCAAATGCCCCCAGGTTTCACTGAGAGAGGCATCACAGTGTCTTTCTTTCTCCCCAATTAAGCTCTTTTCTCAAATACAACAAGCAGTGAAGACTGCAAAGAGCAGCTGGCATACGAGTCTGGAGAGGATGAGGAGGATGAAGAGGAGGAGGAAGAAGACTTCAAGCCTTCTGATGGGAGTGAAAATGAAATGGAGACAGAAATACTGGACTATGTGTGAACTGGGTGAGCAGTCTGGCTGCTGTGGACAAAACTGTCTCTTGCTCCTTGAGAGCTGAGGGTTCAGATCCATGCCCAGGATCTGGGAAAGCAGAGCTTGTACTACAATGATGCCACTCTCTCTGCACTGACTGCTGGTGGCCATCATTATGGATGTTTGGGAGTCTTTGCCTACATTTTCATAATTGCTGGCTAAGAAAGCCTCCAGCAAGCTCAACAAACTCCCCAGAGCGAGCCCAGAATCCAAACCAGCTGGTAATACACCAGGATAGAGGAGAAGCTGCATTCCCAGCTCTCTCCATGTGTGGGAATTGCACTCTGTCCAGGTTGGTAGCTGTGTGGAAGATGGAAAAGGTGCCTGAGGAGATGCTGGAAGAAGCACTCCAGCATTTCTGGAGTCCCTAAGGCAGGTTCTGCCCTTCTGCTTGTCCAAAGGGAATGAAAATACTGTGCCTGCCTTCAGCACTGAGCATTGCTGGCCATTTTGGAAATAAAGCCAGCAGGAAAACACACAGTCTGAGTCTGAGTATGAATAATGAATAATTCCCTTCCTGGGATGTAGTGTATGTTGTCCTCACTAGCTAATGCACTTAGTCCTGTTTTGACTTCCCCAGTAGTTAACAAGGACTGAAGGCAGCTGGCAAAGGGGGAGAGCTTCAGGTTCAGAGTTTGGCCACATTGGCCATTAGTCTGGCACCACCAGCTGGTATGTTCCCACCTGGGCACAGAAATTAAAGATCTGTGGCATTTTGTGGGTCTTGTGCATTCCTCAGTGTGTTGCAAGCACACCTGAAGCTAAGCTTTCTTTCATAACAGGTGTAAGGCCTCCTCCTCCTGCATTGAGGAATGATACCTCAAACCCAGGCAGATCACTGCCTCCAACCCTAAGGACTGGGGCATTTGCTCTTAAAGCAACTGCTTGTAGCAAAAAGAGTAAAACCAGCAAATTGCCATTGGAAAATGCAACAGCCCCAGGTTCAAATGAATATGGTTCATTTGAAATTCAGGCCCTGGTCGCTCAAACAAAAAGCCTGGTTTTCAGTTCAAACACAAAACAAAGCTCAACTCAGCAGAGTGAACATAAGGTATTAACTGCCTCCCCCCCAGTCAGGTCCACCCATTTCTCCAGGAAGGTGCTGGCATTTTGGGGAAGGAGGCCAGGACAACCCCTGCCTGGGGGCAGAGACATTTGAGCATCAGTATTTTATTGCAAAGACTAATTACATTGCTGTGTACAAGTCACACTGGGCAGTGTGTCCTTCATTGAAGTGGTACAAAATACATATGGTACAGCCAGTCCCTCCAGTGACACTGGGCTGCTGGGGACACTGGTGGGAAGGGAGGGGACAGTCCCAGGGTAGGCAGGAGCTGGCAGAGGGAATTTGGTGCCCAAGGGAAGGGGCTGGGCTTTGGGCAGGGTGGGAGGCAGGAGGCTGCCCCTGCGTCAGGGAGCCAGGAGCTCCCATCATGTGCAGCAATGGGCAGTGGGGACGCAGGGCTGGGGAAGCCACACTCACACCCAAGCAGCCTCTTCCCCACCTGGTGCCAGGGACCTGCAGCCCACCTCCTGTCACCAGCCCTGGCCCCTGGAGCGTGGTCCTTCTCCTGGAGCTGAGGAAGGCACCGAACCCACCTGGCAGCTCCGACAGACGGGGAAGAGAAAAGATCTGCTGGAATGAAGCGCTTAAAAAACAGAGATAGAGCCAGGAGCAACAGAAGGTCCCCCTTTGGTTAGTGTTTCCTACAATGATTAAAACAAGCAACTGCCCCTGCTCGAGCAACTAGTGGTAGAAATTTGGGAGGGGGGGACTGGCAGGGTCTGCACCCCATGAGCACAGCAGAGCAAAGCTGCTGCTGCTGCCAATGTCCCTCCCAGCAGCCTTAAATACCAGGGTGGGGACAGGAGAGGGACTGGGCTGCAGGGCAGGGGGAAGCTGGATTAGTAAAATGTACAAGTTTGCCTCTTCTATTTACAACCAATAAATACTGAAAAAAAAAAAAATCAGTAAACCTTTTTGTTTTATACAAAAAAAGTCTCATTGCTGCTTCTCCCATGGTCAGTGTTTGAAAAAGTCTGGTTAAAGCCCAAGGTGAGTGGCACTTTCTGAGGGTCAGGCAGTGGCAGCCGGGGCACCGGGAGCATGCTGAGCTCTCCAGCTCCTCGCTCGCCCACGCAGACCCAAAATCTCTTATTTACACGAGTTCAGAACTTTGCTCTCCTCCTCCTCGTTAGGCTGGCAGCGCTGGGGGCACGGCCCGAAGCTTCCCCCGACGGCAGAAGAGACACTGGCATTTGATCTTTGGTGCAAGTTTGAACACGGGCCATTCCAAGTCCAGCTGGAGGAAGCGCTGGATCGGGAGAGGAGCGAGACCACGCAGGCTTCCAGCTGTGGAGAGCACAGGGCATCCACTCCCTCACGGCACAGACACAGCCCTCCTCCACAGGGCTCTGAGCACAGGGCTGCATCTTCCCAGCCCGGGGCATCCGTGGCTTCTCCCAAGGGAAGGATGGGCGGAGATGTGCGGTGGTGGCGATGCCGGCTATCCCAGGGAGGAAAGACGTGGAGGTAACCACCAGGAAAGCTGGGGAGGAGAGCACTGCGCCGGGTGGGAGCCTGTGCAGCCCCAGGGTGGTGGCTCATGCTCTGCTCCTGTCCAACAGCCCCTCTGCGAGTCGCCGCTCCCGGCTCGCTCGGACACAAGGCACCTACGGCAGAGGCGGGCTCCAGCTCTGGGCTGGCCGGGGCTGGACGAGTGGCGCACCGTGGAAGTTTTAAAAAATAAAACAACAAAAAAAAATAGAGATATCCCCCCGCTGCTGCCTTCCTGGGTAGGAAAAAAAAGACCTGATTGGAATGGGGGCTTGTGCAGAGAGAGGCAGAGGCCGACACCAGTTGTCCAACAGCCCGGCTCGGTGCGGGAGGAGGGGGATGCACGGCCGTGCCCCCAGGCGGGGGTGGCTCCTCTCCCGTGCAGGGCGGCACAAGGACTGGCCACGGCCAAGCCCGGAGCAGCCTGCCCCCAAGGCCCCGTCGGTGATGGGTGGCAGTGGGGCTGAGGCTAGAAGATGCCCTTGGCGATCTTCAGGCCTTTCTGCTTCATCCTGGGCAGGGTGGAGCTGGAGCCGTGCTTGATCTTCACCCCCTTGGAGAAGCCCCGCTTCTTGAGCACGAAGTCATAGTTGGCAGCGGAGTTCATGGCGTAGAACACGTTGGCGTTGTCGGGGATCTTCAGCTCTGAAAGTGAGCAAGGATGGGGGTCAGTCGGGCACCCTGTCCCTGAAAGGGGACAACCTGAGAGTTGTCCCCCTCAGTGTCACCTCCCAGCCCAGCTCCGACCTGGTGCTGCCCAAGCTGCAGGGCTGCCTGGCCCCAGGAAAGCCGCCCCCACCCCAGCACACACCTCTCTCCTCCGAGATGATCTGGACGAGCTCGTAGTCCTCAGGCCGGTCCCCGTCCAAGTTGTGCTTGGCCATGGCCTTGCGAATAACCACTGGGGTCTTGTCCTGGCTCGTCACCTGTGAGCCCAGAGCTTTATTAGCCCAGAACACTGCAAAAAGCCTCCCTCCTACTAGTGCCTCCTCCCAAAACAAGCCATGCCTGCATCCGAGCAGGACAAGCCACCCCTCCCTGTCACCACGGGGCCCTGTACTAACCAGGATGCTCTTGTACATGTTGCCATTGTCCACAGCCAGGCTGACACGGATGATGCAACAGTCGTCGACCTGCTGGTTGTAGAGGGGCAGCGAGAGTGAGGAGTAGCTGGAGATGCCGGAGACCGAGCGCTTGTGTGTGCGGGAGGCCGTCACCGGCGTGGAGGAGACGGAGGAGGAGGAGGCACTGCTGGAGCCTGAGCCGATGCCTGACGTGTCCAGGGAGGAGAGGGAGGTGGATTCCCAGAACTGGAGGGCAGGGAGGAGAGGGGATGCGGAGGACACAGTGGGTTTAGCTTCTCCATCGGCCACAGACGGGGCGTACCAGCGCTGGGGGAGGGAGGCCAGAGGGATCTCACTGACCTGTGACAATGGGGGACCGACACAACTACAGCCACCTGAGGCACAAGAGCCTTG